TTTTTCTCCTTCCACAATTATTGCACACTGTGCGTGTGTGTGTATAATTTAATCGGTTCGCCAAATGGAAATAATTATTGATTGATTGTTCGCTTATGGAGACATTCATTATACTTGCAACATCATTCAGTGCAAAATGCGATGAATATAAATGTTGCATAATGAGAGAGGGCAAAATTGCCCACAAAGTCATACACTTTCTTGTCAATCATGTGACTTTGAGGGCTGCTGCAGTTTTATTTCACCGTCACAGCATTTAATTCGCCACGGAAGTGCCAGACACTTTGCATTTTGGCCCCGAGCGCCAAATAGTGTGTAATTCTTTTCACGGACTCTCGCGCGCAGAGGATGATTTTCTCCAGATGCTCATGCAGGTGTAATTAAAACAATTACCACTCGATGTCAATGGTGGCGAAAGAATTCAGTGCAATTGCATTTGACATGTACGGGCTGCGCACATGAACTGAGGCAATTTGCATTTTGCACACGCTGCATTTTCTGCCACAAATTGATCGAGCACACATCGCGAGATTTATCAGGTTCTTCATTCTGGGTAAGATTATATTCAGGGAATTTAAACGTCGCCTAATTGTAGAGCAACGCAACATATTTTAAGACTATTATTATATTTATGACGAAGACAGCAGTAAATATTCTGTCAATAATTGTGTCTTTATTAGCATACAAAATTAGAGAGTGTTTTCGACCACATTTTCAATAATTACATTTCTTTAAAGATGCGCTACCGTCTTTTCTACGTAAAAACAAGTCTGCAGCACTTCGTGCAGAAGAGCTCCTGTTAAAGTTACTCAAGATGTTAACTTCTTTTTCTCTTATTCTCTTATTTAATTCCATTTAGCGTTCATCTGAATGGGCGTGGCTTGCAAGTGGGCGGGATTTCTCAGTATATTTTTGCATTCTGATGCTCGGGATATAAAAAGTTCGAAACAAGGGGCACAATTTGAGACCCAATCGTGTCAACCATGTTCAAAATAAAAGACCAAAACCCGATTTGTCGATGTTTTAATCGATTTTTGAAAAAAATTGTTCTATTCATCTGTAATGTTTGTTGTTTGGGTTGTTTTGTGCGGAGTCCACAAGGAAAACGGGAAAATTAATAAAGTGTGTAGTAGCGTTGACCACAGCTGCTCCTCTTAGTATTAACCTTAAACCGGATAAATTCGGAGCTGTGTTAATTTGTTGCAAGCGACGCTTCGTGTTTGACTAAAATTCAAATGACGCGGTCGTTTTTTCGCTATTTTAATGCGAAAGCCAGCAATCAACTCGTGGCTTCAGCATCGCATTACGCTGAGAACTATAACACAGTGCATGCGATACGCTGATGGTGTATGAAATTGTGCGAGAATGTGCTGAGACAGTGGGCATAAGGCTCAATTGAAAAATGAGCTGCGCTGGGGAGGTCAAACGGCGCGAATTTTTGATACGCGCCACGGGATAGTCCGAAAATTGTCGCACTCTTGTCGATACAATGTATGGAAATTGCGAGAATGTGGCACACGGAATTGTTCATTAAAATTCATAAGCGCAAACATCATATTTATGCAGATGGTGTGTTATTTAAAATGTATTTTTCAAATATTAATTAACGATTTGCCATGATTTAATTAAACGAATTAATTGTGATCTGCTTCTGGGATGATTCCACCACAAATCCGCCTCATTTGGCAAATCACGCGTGCATCAGCGTCAAAATAGCGTCAGGCCATCGCGAATGGGGGAGTTTTCCACTAATTAATTGTCATAATTGAAACGATATACTTTTTTAAACGGCAGATGATCAATTTTTGCGCCCAAAATGAGCAGCTTGTCCCACCATTAAAAGCAATTGAATAATTTATTCACTTAAAATAATTAGCAAGTCTCGATTATGACCGTTCTGGGCAGTGAAAAACCGCATCAATTTGCAAGAAATGTTTATTGTTAAACTCGCGCACACGATTGTATTTTGAGGCCCGAATGATGTCAGTCACAAAACACATCTTCCGAAAAAAGATCCTGAGCGAGAGAGAAGCAAGAAAAAATATTTGTCATAACATGACATAAAAATTTTATGATGGTCTCTAATTGATCTGATTAAAATAATTGGATTGCGATAAGGCGAGAAATAATTAAAGAGAGGGAATGAGCATTTGAGATGCTTGTTTATTCCAATGTTTGTCCACACACGAGTCACTTTTCCAGCAATTTCATAAATATTACTTCATGTTAATTCCCTTAAGTAAAGCGAACGTCAATCAACAAATTTACAATTTCTCTAATCACAGTCTCTCACACTTTTCCACCATATGCCATTATTTTGTTTGTAATGAAGTTTGAAACTATGTAGAAATGTGGCGATCGAGTTTTTCTCCTTCATATTCATCAAACTCCGCATGTGCTTTATCAATTGGGGAAATGAATGTTAATGAGTGTGAGACGCAGAAAAAAGAGGCTACAATTAATTGCGTGGAGAGATTTTGCTGTGCTGTGCAAAATGCGGAATGGGAGATTTGGGAAATGCCTCGCATTGCGTGAAAACTACTAAAGTCAACGACAATTTGCTTCTTCGGTGAACAGGTTCCAGTGCAGATGGCTGGAGACGCAATTGCAAAAAAATGAGGTAAATAATTCACGTTGGCAATTACACTATCAATCGCATCCAATAAATAGTGTAATTATTTAGCATATGCATGTAAAATTAATTTATTAGGTGATTTATGTAAATATTGCAATTATATTCTGAAAATGAGTGTATAGTTACTCAATTTGAAATAAAACCATTCGTTATGTTCCGCTGAATCCACAATATCGCACAATATAATGTTGGCAGGAATGATTTGAATAAATGAGCGGTGGAAAGAAAATTTCCCCCCTTCAGTGACTGATTAAATTGATACAATTCTTCAATTTAATTTGCTTTTTAAATCAACCTCAAACCTTCATTTGTACACTTCGGGCTATTCGATGTGCCTTCAATTGCACACGAATATGTTCTCTGGCTGTAGCTCAACATAATTCTCATCCAGAACTCGCGCGCGCGAAAGAAAAAAAGAAGAAAAACTCCTCATGCTTTATGTTTACCTCTGAGAAATTTCTTGTGTGCGAACAATTAAAGGCACAGAGAAAATATTGGGTGGCTGTGGTGAAATGTATGCCTTCGCCATACAGTTTAGTTAATTTAATTTTCTCAAATCACGACATATTATTAACATTGTCACGACATTTTCCACTTGTTGTGTCCGACCGTGGAGTGGAAAAAATTTCCTCGCCGAAGCTATAAAAGTGCCTTCGCGTCTTGAATTTTCTGCCATTGGATTTTCTTTCTTCCTTTTCTGCAAATGAGGTCTCTTTACCACCGACTTGCACTGGCTTTTTGTCCACTTCACCCTCGAAATAATTGAAAATATTGTTGATTAGCAAACTTGTTTTTCTTTCACCATTTCCCACCTCTTTCTTGCCCGCATTCCGAAGGGTTGCTCATTCCGCGGAATCGCATACAATGAAATCAGTGCAAGTTTCTTACTTTAGAATTGATCAGGAAGATCAAGATGACTCTGTTTGAAAACTGTGAACAAATTGTCAATGTGTTTTTCCTAATTTCAAAAGAATTTGCCAAATTTTCGTACGATCTAAATGACTTTTGAAATAAGCAACATAATTAATTGTACGTTTTCTCGACCGCTAATGCAATTAAATGACTTTTACAAACCAATTCATTAGAAATCTGAAATGATCGATAAGAAAATGCCATGAAAAACTTCAGTTCTTGCTAATCTTCTAATCAGAGACCATCAAATCACTGACTGTATAAATTAAATGCGTCAATAGAGACTTATCAAGTCCACAACTTATCAACCTTAATCGGCCAGCAACACAGTGTCAGCAGACTTTCTGTCACGTCAGTCTCGACTGCACTGCTTTGCCCTTCTGCGAATCCAAGTCTGAATCCGCACTCGAAACGGTCGACTGGGAAAGCCGAGGCAATATGATGGGTAGTTGAACTGTGAATTGTGTGAAAAATTGCGTGGGTTGAGAGTGTAAGCGAAATGTGCGTGTTGTGTCGTGCAGCACTGATTTTTATTCCATCTCAGTCCCTCGCGAGAACACACACAATTTGCATATTAATTTATTTACGCGACAACTTTGTAATACAACCGTGATTTTTTGCATCCCCCACACCCTTCCTTGGCGCTCTCACGCCCACTTTTCAGCCACTGAGTAATTGCAGATATGTGTGTTTTTATTAAATTAATTGCATATACGCAATTTTCATCGCGCGGCACTTCCACCGGAGGATTTTCCGTGTGCGGTTTGCCAGGAAACAGACGTGCAACAGTTTTCGAACCACATTTCACTCTGCGCCCGTGACAGAAATGTTTGTGATTCTATTATTCAGTGAATTCCATGGGCACTCTTCGGTCTCGTTTTTTTTTGCGTGAGAGTCGGTCAGAAATCAGAAACACTTCCCAAAGACTCAGCTTAATGATTTTGTACGCGGGGTGTTGAGGGGCGAGGGCGGAGAATTCTGTGACAAACTGTGCGGCCAGAAGTTGCTTAGCCATGAAATTGGTAAATTGTGCAAGAATACACAAAGTCAACCATTCATCATTGCAGGGAAAACAACCCTCAAGTTGCGGAAAAAACTCTGCATTTCCATAATTTGTGATGCCGGATGGAGAGGTTTTCATTTCAAAGACTGCGAGGGTGCAATTGGAGGCAGAATGCTAATGAGAGTCAGAGTGGGGTCTTCAATGGGATAATAACTGAATATTCAGCACAGAAACTTCCCACTGATCAGCCTCTCATGCTGCATCTTGTGGTTTTTAATGGATTTTTAATGGATTGTCCTCTGTGTGTTTGTCTTTCTCTCTATTTAATTTGGCTCTCTGCATCACCAATTTGGTGTGAACTGTGTGGACAAAAAGTCGAAGGCTCTCAGCACAAGTGGTGCTGTTTTTTGCCGAGAGCCCCACGCGACGGAAAAGAAGCTCATTACTCACAGATAATCCGTTTAGGGCGACTATTGTGAAGGAGTTGAGTCGACCGGAAGAAATTCAATTGATTGGCTGGAATAAATTGGCTCAAGTGCGGCTCTTTTTGGCTCTCTTCACAAGAAAAGAAGAAAATTACCACCACTCTTGGACCACTTGACACTGTTTTCGCGGCACAGCTTCACACTCAAATATTACTCAGATGATTCGTGATCACTGGGAGGATTTCTCCTCGTGTGTGTGTGTGTGTTGGCAAAAAGAAGTATCTCTATCACAATTTCAATGCCACTACGGACAGGAAAACTCACTGACTCACGATGTGTTTGGAGGAAAAGTGTCGAGAGTCAATCTCACTCGTTCGACGATCGCACGCCGAATGAGTGGAAAGCAGAACTGAGCTCTGGAACAGCAAATGTTGGAAGTCAGTGAGTCTGGGAGGTGGAATTTGCCGGCTTCTCCTCAGCCTCTCTCTCTCTCTCTCTCTCTCTTCCGCCCTTCTGAGCACTCTCGGGCGCTTCTCTGTGAATGTCTCCATGGGAAAATCCTTCCGATGCACTTTTCCTACCCTCCTGGGGTGTTCCATGAATTCCGGCTAGAGGAAAATTAATCATTTTCCCGCTTGTGGACAGAAAAAAAGAAGGCCACAGAAGAAGAAATCCGCCGCGCATGCGCGCCACGAGCCAATGTGCCATCGTGGATGAAAAACACTGGGCGGTGTGGAATGAGGGGGTGGAAAAGCGGGGAAATGTGCTTGGGAAGTCATGTGAATTTTCTCCCAGAAGAAGGTGGAGACAAAAATGATACTGTTGAGCTGTGGTAACATCATTACAAGTGGCCCAGAAAACACTGATTATTTCCATCTCTGACGCCTATTTTGCTGCCCCCAAATATTCTCGGGGAAGAATCCTCCCTCTTGTATTGAGGGAAATGCTCGATTTTCCGCTGTGGAAAAGTCCCTCTTTCACTGTTTATATGAAACATTTTTTGCATGTTTTCTCTCTCATCTTCCGCTAATGACAAAAGAGATATTTTCAACCCTTCTCGTGTGGTGTGAATTCAATGGGAGATTCGCGATTTGCTCGCTCAAAGTCTCAAAGAAAAATGACACACACACACACAACACAGTCAAAAAAAATGTGTCATGAATACAAGTTGCAATAATTACTCAAAACTCTCAGATCTGAATGACTTCTTAATAAGTTAAGTCCCTAAATTGATTACCATACTGTTCCTCCATTCTTGCACATGAACGAGTTCCATTCAATTCGCACCCTCGAGAGGGTATTTTTCATCAAGAGAGGGATGCACTTCTGAGAAGGGTTGATATTCACGGCAAAATGAATTATCTTATTAAAAAGTGGAATTTTCTGCGACACTATCGCACTCTGCAATCAATGGAGTTTTAATTAAAAAATCTCTAAAGGTGACCAACCATTTTTCACGCCTGTATTCTAACGCCAGAACATTAGAACAATGCCAAAGGAAATTGGTTCTGTCAGCGCGAATTTTGTCTCCTTGAATCACCGCATGTCCTGAAGTGGGGAATAAAAATCACCCTGAGAAGTTGTAAATTGTAATTATTTTTCTATTGTTGGCACAGCAAGAAAAAGATTAGGAATTTGAATAAAAATTGTATAAATAATACCATGAAATAATTTCACTCAATGAAGACGCACTCATAAATAACAAGAAAACTTGCAAGAAGTGCGGGAACAATTGTATCAATTACACCAAACACTAACCGGGCCGGCGAAGGGGTGAAATAAAATTTAAACATCATTTTTCATTGCGGAACGAAAGAAACTCCGATGGGATTTTCGTTAATCTGCGGGAGACCAGAAAGACTGGTAACGCACACAAGAGATTTCTTTTCTCACTCCGCAACTCGCCTGGAGGAGAAATTTGAAGTAAGTTGTTCAGCACCCAGAGTGGACAGAAGATTAATCATGAGTGTGATTTACAAACCCTTCTGCCTCCGTCCCCAGGCGCAAAATCAACCCCATCACTCTTTCCATAATTGAATTCTGTGCGGTGCCGCCAGCAGTGGCACAATAAGAAGGAAATTGATGGTAATTATTAATTGGGTTAAGTACTTCAAGGGCTGCTGATCGTCTTTCGCAGAGAATTTATTAATATTTCACCCGATAACTTTTCACCTTCGCACACAAAGTTCCCGCTGAAGTGGCGAGAAAAGTCCTGAGAAGTGACATGTCACTGTCACTCGTGCCTCCGCAGCATCAATAAAACATCCCAACATCTCAATTCTGAAAACACACAAAATCTCCCAAGGCGCACTCATTCGCTGTGCGTGGTGTATTTACAAGGGGAAGATAGTACAGCACTTGCACAATGTGTATGAAGAATCCTTAACACTTCTCAGGACTTTAAACATCATAGGTAGTTAATAGCAAGACTAAAACCACCTAAAAACTAACCGCAATCTAACTAACAGTTCTGTAACTCTGTTTTTCAGACTAATTGCTTCTAATTGCACTTTCGGTATCGTAGAATCTTTCTAAAAATCCTTAACATGTCTTAGAACTCTTCGTAGAGATTGCAATTGGAATAAAACGATAAAATTAAGCAAAACTCCAGCGAAATTGTACCAAATTTTAGTTTTATTACCATGAAAATCAACCCAGATTATTATATTGAGGTTATTTTTGACTTTAACTTTGTTTCTTAATAATTCAGCTTCCAAAATCACGATTTTTATTGAGTAAAAGTACGCAATTCTACTAATAAAGTGAAAATGCTTTTAGTTTAAGCACAAGAATTTCTGCTTTAAGATATAATTTAGTCACATAACTTAGAAAAAAAATATCAAAATTATGACTTGAATAAGAATCAATTTCTGAGAGTGCAATAAGAAACAGAAAATCACAGCTGTGAACCAAATATCCGGCAAAATTAAAACACTTCCGATCATATTATCTCCCCTTGTGTATTTACGCAAGAAACTTTGACTCTTTCTGGAGAATTTCAGCTACAGGAATGAGTTCCGTACAAATGTATTACGAAATTTTCCACCCTTGTCATAAGTTGCGTCTCCTCGGAAGACACTCAACTTCCTGTGGAGTCTTTTGGATGGGTTGGAAAACAACACCAAGATTGCGAAATACACAGCGTCGTCCTCACAAAAGGATCCAATTCAGCTCCTTTTATTTAAACAGTTTTACACCATTATTGTTCGCGAACACGAGGGTGAGAGGCGACAAGTCTTTTGTGACATGCGGTTGTTACGCAATTCATGGGGAGAGATAAATCAATCGGAGAAAAGTCAAGCAACAATAAATCATCAACATTTTAGATGTGTGCGCGACATTGAGTCGTCTCTCTGTCCTGGAGAAGTGGCTTTTTTGCGCGCCAAATTGAGGATCATCCAAATTTATATCACAAATGACAATTTCAATCAACTTCTTGCACACCTCTCGATTCCTCGTCAGCATCAATGCTGGTTTCGACTGTCACGGACAGGCATGTTTTTCCTGGACTCTTGCATCAAAAAGGTGCGACGGCAAAAACGTGGGATTTTGCGTAGGAGAAAGACTAGAATGAGTGGATTTTTTAATAAATTAATCTCTCTGAAAGCCATTTCATTACTTCAATGGCTCCAGTGAAGTGCAATTCAGCTCTTTATTTGCACTCAACCCTCTCTCTTCGTCACATGCGGGTTGATTTTGATGCAAATCAGTACAAATAGCGCATGTTTCAGGATCGGAGTTTTGGACAGAATTCAATGCAATATTTATTTATTTACTTCCACGGAAAGGAAGAGCACATCTTGCGGTGTTTTCAGCTTTTGGGGACACTTTTGTCGTGTATCTGTGTTGCATAATGCGCTTCCTTGTTATTTCTGTATTACATCACATTTGCTGAAATATTTGTTCAGAAACGCGTCGAGTATTTATAGAGAGAAAGAGAGAATGGAACGGGGAAAGCGGGTGGAAAGACACGGCAAATGTTGCACAATGGGAATCCGTTGAGTGTCAATCAAATGCAGATATTAGCTGGAGGAAGACTTTCCCGAGGGTTGAGCGGGATATTCATTACATTCACCCCATTTATTATTGCTCTTGTGCACATTAATACCATCAATTAGGTTTTTCTTCACTCTGTGCAAAGAGAAGTGCGTGGATAATGGATCACGCAGAGAATTTCCATCTTCTCTAGGCGCAAAAAAATCCCACTTTAGCAAATACAGAAACACTTTCCATTGAAATTCGGTAATCATTTCCAAACAAATAATTAATAACGCTGAGAAATGTTTTTTTCCTCTTTTTTGCTGCTAATGTTTGTTTGCTGTTGAGCTGGAGGCATTCGTTCTGCGCTTTGTGCAAGGGTCGCATCTTTCAATCAACATTAGCAAATAGGGGCACTTCGCATGCCCAGAGAGACTATCTGGATTACTCACATGCACTCCTCTTTCCCAGGGATTTTGCCAAACTGCAGGAGAAAAAAAAAACCCATTCATTAGCATAATTCCATGAATCTTGTGTGCGGGATTAGGCAAACAAAGTGCTCCTGATCAAATTAAATCAAAGAATATCTGTCCGGGAGAAAATTATATTGGTTTTAGAATGTTGTTTTATCATTTCACCAGACGCGACAGAGTTGCTGGTTAAAAGTGCGGAGGGTGAATTGATTCATATTGAATTGCTTGCATAGAAAAGGATCACAAAGCATTTTCCACCACAACTTTCCATTCATTTTCCCTCCTTCATCGGAGAGAATCAATAAAGAAAATTGATTTATAATTAAATTAGCTTCAAGTGCCAATTTGGCTTCTATATTGGAAGGTATTTGATGAAGAAAAAAAAAACACAGTATAAGATTTAACCACCCTCGAGTTCACTCTGCGAGGACATGAGCGAAGAAAGGACACAAAGAAGGAACGAATAAAGGCACCATTGAGGGTAAAGAAGTGGAGTGAGTCAAATGGACATAAAATAGATTGACTTTGTGATTTTTAGCGCGAATTTCGGCAATTATGTCCGTCTCGATTGGATAAAACTTTTCTTGTTATCCCCCAGCGAAAGTTGCCACTGTTGGCGGCATGAAAAAGTGCCGCCCAATTAAGTCTCTTCGCTGCGTTTTATTTTAATGGGTGATTCATGGAGAAAATTGATGAGCATAATTTCCTAAAACGCATATAAATTTCCCTCAAACTCATATACAATCCATACTGTTTTGGGTGTTGTGTGGTTTATAAATAATTCAGCACGCAGTTTTCCACCCCATTTGTGTTACCGGCACTTTTTGGATGAGGTTTCCACCGTCACAGTTCATCCTGCGATGTGTGTTTGTTGTCCGGGAAGGAAGATGGGACACCACATGTATTTCACCCCCTTTTAACAATTTTCCAAAATGTGTATTTGAATTCACCCTCAGCCGTGTCATCCCACTCATCTTCGGCATGGAGATTGCGGTGAAAATTCTCAATTGTCTCAATAACCCCACCCTTGGCGTGGCCGCAAGAAAATCATAAATGCGCCCTCCTTCGGGGCGCATGGCTTTCTGGTTGAGTTTGTGCCTAGGGGATGAAATAAGGAGAACTGATCAGTATCACTTTGATAAATGGGAAATTTGATTATGCCGGAGAAAAAGTTAAGCTGTATAATTCGTGGAAACTGAAATAGAACACAAGCGTTCTGGTCTGATTCTCAATTCAATGGCATTTTATGTTATTATATGAAAATACTCCATCGCAACCCTCAAAATATTCGAGGGTGAGGCGTGAATGTGAGTCAAATTGGCGGTGCAGAAGTTATGGAATGACTTTGAGAGGCAAAAATTATCATTCTCATCCCTTATTTGTAGGTTTCAATTTTAAAAATGAAATAAGCAGCTGAAAATGGTTTAAAGTCACTTTTCTAAGGGGTTAAAAATCATCAGAAATAACCAATTGAAGTGTAGTAATGCATGAAAATAAGGAAAACTATCGATTGAGGTACAATTTCGGCGGCCGTTGCGACTCTCAGGCCGATGATTTGCAGGAAAATGTATGAAAGATCAAGAGGGTGGCACTAATTCATAATTGCGTGGTGAATAATTCTCATTGAGAATCACGTCTCTCGGCCAGCACGAATCAATGGACTTTTCCTGTGGAGGGTAAAAAAAAAAGTAACAAATTAAATTACGAATGTTGCGCTCTTTCAGCGAAATTGCATCAAAATTGCAGAAAAATCCTTCCATGCGTGCCATTGTGAGTCAGTCTTGTGTGATTTTCAATCCATTAATGCATCGCATTTTAATTTAATGTCAGATTGCTGGATTGGCAGTGGTTAAATGGAAGATTGGATATTTTCTCCTGACGTCCCCTCGCCACGCAAGACGCCACGTGGCGGCTGGAAATTTGGACGCCACGATAAGAGCACCGCCACGCGTCCTCTCATTGTTGCAATTTAATGTGAATGCACATTTCTGGTTTTAAGTGGATCTTCAGCGCAGAAAAAAAAAACCACCGCCGAGAATGGTATTTCGTGCGTGCGTGGAAAATGCCGAGATTCTCGCCGGCGGATTGTCTTCTGCATCAGATAACAGCGAAACCGTGTGACTTGCTGTGACTCCGTGAGGATTCCCAGCAGAAAAAAACCATAATTCATTTGAGCTGCTAATTCCGGCCACTTCAATATGTGTGCCACGAAAGGGAGACTCGAGCGAGGCTCAGGAGAAGGACGCCACGCGAGAAGGCGCACGAGACGCCTAATCGTGACAAACAATGTTTTTTTTTGGAGGAAAATACACCTCGGCCACAAACACCCGGTCACGCTATATTACACGAATCGCTTCGCAGAGGGAAGTGGTGGAAAAGCCAATTCATTCACTTGTCGCACGGACCTCAAACGCCAGCGTGACTTACAGTGGCTTATCAATTAATTGCGAGCACAAAAGAGCACACGATATGCCACCTAATAAGGGGTGGTTTTTTGCCTTCTCTTCCCACAATTTATGGCGGATTATTGCGTTATCTAATCAAATGCCCCGGAGATTTTCGCTAATGTCTGGGAACGGGGAAAAAGGAGTGAAATATGCCATTTCGACTGCAGGAATATTGTACATTTCTCTGTTCTGCGGTGGGATTACTGTATTTTTTCCCATAAAATACAGCAATTTTAGCATTATTCCCTCGCTGTGATGTCTTTGATTTGAATTTTTGAAAAAAAACCTTATTTGAGTAACGAATAATTTTCCCACAGAAGCTGTGAAGAGAAGAAATTGGAAAGAAAATCTAGAATTTCTCCTCAATCCAAAAGCAACAATTCATCATGGAAAGAAAAAAGCAATTCGGATCAAATTTTTGAGAGTAAAAAAAAACCGTGGCAACCGAAAGGGTGAAATTGCTGAGAAGTCACAATGGAAATTGCCATTTCTCACCGTATTGTTGGAATTTGAAATTTCATGTGGCTCGTCTCTCGGGATGTTGAAGGCGAAAGTGGCGGAAAACGAGCCCTAATTCAAATCGAAAGGGTTGCTCGCCTGCTAAACTCCCAAGAGGGTCATTTTTCGCATTTGAAATCTCCTTCCATCGCTGGACGAACTTTAAATGATATAAATTTCTCAGTGCGAGTAACTTTCTTTCAGTGCCGAAAAGAAAATTCCTGTCCATCTGGAGATGGATAAAAAATTCCTTTTTGTGATTTGTATCCAAGGTAAGAGATCCTTGAAGTATTTCAATATCTCCTGGCGTAACAATTGGCAAATTGTTGAATAACTTGAGAAGAATGTCCAAGAGAAATCACACTCAACATATTTTTGAGATGCCCAGAGGGTATTTTTCTCTCACTCCCTGTCCAGAGATGAATCATAGAAAGAAGCATCAACCCTCAAATTCTTTCCTCCATTTCGAAGGAATATATATTTTAATAAAGTTCCCACATCTCCTCGGTGATATCCAACAAATAGCCAATAAATGTCCAGTCAGAGTGAATCAGAGACTGAAAAATTGCTCTTTAGGTGAAAAGACATCGAAACCCCTTTCCAAAATTCACACGCACGCACCAAAAACATCCCTCCAAATGAGATTAAGTCCCTGATCGAGAGGCGTTCCGCCGTCAGAGAGAACAATTTGCAAGAGATACGAGAAATGCGAGTGTTTCTCTTCTTCTTTTTCACCTCCCCAAATATAATGTGCGGAATTAAAAATCCCTGCCCGGATTATGTTTCCAGCGACCAGCAAAATACGCAGACACTATTTACATTTCCCATGGAATTCGTCACGGTGAGGCAGGACCTCTTTCTCCCCTCCTGTTTTCCCCGCAATAAATCTTCCCGATGCCGCACAATCAAATTGCCCGAGAGCGGAAAAAAGTGCCCTCTTGGCGCTCTGAATGGGGCTTTTCGGTTGTCGTGCTGGCGAGCGATTAAGACGCCATGTATTTAGTTACAGCTCGAGCTTTTACACAAGACGTATACATAATTATCGAATTTATGAATGCACAAAGTGTTAATTATATTCCAAACAACCGCCTTTCTTGCCAACTTCGCCTTGCTTGTGTTATTGAGGTGACGTCGGCGGATAATCGCCAAAATTGCCTCAGAAAATGACTGTAAAGTGCAGAAAATATACACTGAACCTGAGTTCAAAGGCAAAGAACCAATAATAAGAGTTTAGAGCTATTTTTGAGGGTTTCTTTTTCCCTTAATCACACAGTAATTTCTACTTATTCATACTAAAGCAATGCTTTGAAACAAATCTAAAAGGGTTGCTACAATTATTTACATATACCAAATACTTGCCACCCCAGCTAAAATCACCTCATTAACAAAATGAATCCAGTGCGAATGTCTCATTAATTGGAGGAAAATCAACGAGAGAGAAACAATGCGGACGCTCACAGGATCTAAATAACCGGTGTAAATTCTGCGTGTGGCGGGAAACACGTGAATCCAAATGCTGGACGCATCAATTAGGAGAGACGCAGAATTATGCTCGCCTCATTGCAGGAAAGCGCCTTTTTGGCTCAAATGCGCAGCCGGTCGGAGTCAGTGAGGTGGAAAAATGTGTCTGCGACAGTGTTTCAATGCGGCCAAATTGACAAAGAGAACCGACAGTGAAATAATGTGGAAAATGGAATCAAAATTGACTCTCTGGGCAGTTTGTGGAGGGAGAAAGAGAGCGAGACAAAGGAATGTGGCATTCACCTTGTACCTGAAATCTCCACAGAGAGGAGAGATTTCGCTTTATTCTTGCACCCCCAGAAATAAGACAGTGTATATATATATATGGAAAATTGCACTCTAGAAGTCCCTGAATCGCAGGTCTCGGCGCTCGTCGCTGAGATGATCCCTGAAGCGCATTGGACTGGGGCGGAAATCTAATCTGGGCGCACTGAGGGGCGCCCCGCCTTCACTGCCGGCGGCCAGGCTGACAAAGTCCGGACGCCTTGAGCTCAGCACTCCGCCGGAGTCGAGCATGTCCCTGGGGTCCTCATAAATCGTGATGCGGTGACGGGCGAAGTAGCCGTCCTCCCGCGGCCGGCCCAGCGTCCCCGCGGACAAGGGATGCGTCCGCAGGGGTGGCGGGTACAGCGCCTGCAGGAGGCAAAAAGTGAGTCACAGACAAATCAATATTTGGCCAAGTCACAACGTGATAAATTGCCGCAAAGGTCTGTCCACCGTGACGAATGCGCTGCCCCGGAGCGAATCTCTGTCACAATTCTCACTCACCTGGCCACCGGAACCGTAGTCATCATACAGAGGTCGTCTGTCGTCCAGCGGTCTGTGTGCAAAGAAAAGATCACCAGTATTTCGGGGGGTTTTGCGGAACGTCTTTGAGCGACATCACCTGTACAGTCCGTGTCCGTAGTTCTCCCGCACGCCCACCGCGTAGGGTCTTCCGCCGTAGCCATCATCCACCATCTCGTACCTCTCAGCCTGTCCTCGCACGTACTTGTCCCTGTGCCCGAGGCGGTTTCCCTGGTCCTCCGCCAGCAGATGGTGTCTGTTGTGCATCCCCCGATTGTCATATCCGCCATAGCGATCGTCGTACTTGTCTCGCACGCTTCCATCGCGCAATCCCTCGCGATACTGCGAATCGTGGGCATCGCCCTTAGTGCCATGCCTCTTGTCGTACACCAGCTTTCCGCCCCTGTCGTCCGAGTCCTCGTAGAATGAGCTGTTGCTGCCGCTCTCGTCCTTGTGATACGTATTGTGGAAGCCCGACTTCACATGCTTCCTGTTGTGCTTCTTGTCCGTCTCGAAGTCCTCGCCAGTCGTGTGCTTGAGCGTATCTGAACTCGATCCCTGCTTCTCATGGTTCAAATTGTGTCCATTCGAGATGTTCTCCAAGTTGTGGAATTGCGACACATCCTGAGCCGCCTTCAGGTTGTTTCCCTTGTCCGACAGCTGATTCTGTATGAAACCACTGGCCGCCGTTGATCCCTGGGCGCCATTCTCGAATCCGTAACTCACGTAGGGATAATCATTGGCGTAGGGCAGACCACTCACCGCCTCGCCCAAGAGATGGATCACCACAGCAGCCACCAGAAGCACCATCATTCACCGCGGAGTCACCTGAGACACTGATCGCACTGCCGGATTGGGTGCCTCATTAAATATTTGTCGACACTTCACGCTTTAATCCGCGGCGTCATTCATCGCGATTAACGCATGTTTCCGTGAACATGAAAAGAGTGTCAAGAAATTGCCTCTTTTTGTCTTGCTGCGGCTCCTCAAGAACCTCTCTGGGCCCAGTTTAAATTCTTGTGCCGGGTGACTGATTTGGTGACACCTGAAGAATACCCAGCGCCAGTCAACCTTCACCATCTCATCAAATTTACACAATTAACAAGGAAGATAAATCCATTCAATTCACCACACTTCATTTCCCTCCTTCGCGACAGTTGCACGCAACCTCGTGGCAACTTTTGTGTGTTGCGCGGAAAACCCAAAAGATCTTCAAGCTATTGTTGTCCTATTATTTCATCCCAACAGCATGTCGCGGTATTTAAGGACGTTTTCCCTTCTGATTCCAGACTTCATGGCAACTTTTCCAATTAATGGCTCATCAACACATCATTGGATTTATCTTGGAATGCTGCATTTATCCAAGAGAAAATCTTACAGTTCTCATCCTGAAACAATATCAAAAACTTTCGTTTGATTTTCTGTTACATCTTGAGATCATGAAGCTGTTTCCTAAGAAATTACTTACCTTTTCTCTATTTGAACACTTCTGTAATGCTTTGAAGAGCATAAAGAGACTAATTAGCCTGTATTTCGTCCCTTTCAAACACTTTTTCACCCATTTTTCTGCACTGAACGGACGTTTTTCGCACAAATCGTAGAGTTCTAACGAAAACAGAAGCTTACAAATCAACTGCTGTATTTATTTCTCTTCTTTTTCTCTCTCTCTCTCCTCAATGATATATCGCAATATAAATAGCCTTAAATAGTAAGCTTTCATTTCAACTCTGTTCATTTAAATTATGTAAATCATACATATCGAGAACTGGTGTGTTCCTAAAGAGTACTTTTGTCGTATTGATAGAAATATTACATTCAAGCGTGGTATTTCAAGTGCTCTTTTTCCCCCCCAAATTTAATGATCAAAAACCAAATGCATTTGTAGACAAGTTCAAAATTGCTGTTTGTTATTTCAGTAATAAGAATCATATTCAGTGTGAAATACCACTCTTGTTCGGGAATTCTAAGTAAAAATTAATTGAGAATTGTCTTTCTCACCATTGCGTGTGCATTTTTTATACCTGTATCTCAGCGGAGAAACTCATCGTGTTTTGAGGTAAAGTCTGTGGCAGGACAGTGAAGCACAGAGACAACCGAATGAGTGGCGCACGGCGAAGCTTCCAGCTTAGAAGTCACCATTTCGCAGCTGCGAAAGCCTCAGACTGAGCTCCTCGGCGATGTTCACGCGTGAGATCTCCACTTCCTTCCTCGACGACACCTCGCGCAGCTTCACGACGCCCTTCTCCAGCTCCGAACTGCCCAGAATGAGCGCGAACGGGATTCCGTGCTCCTCGCAGTGCTGCAACTGACCGAGAAGCTTGGGATTCTCCTTGTAGGAATGCTCCGCCTTAATCCCGCCATCCCACAACTCCGTGATCACCTTCAGTCGCTGCTCGTGCAGCCCCTTGTGGGCACTCGCCACGTACACTTCCACGTCCGTGGTGCGCATCTTGATGCCCTCGGCCGCCTGCTTCGCCTCCAGCAGCGAGAAGATCCTCTCCACGCCAATGGACACGCCCACGCACGGCACTTGCTTGCCCTTCGGATCGAACATGCCCACGAGATTGTCATAGCGTCCACCGCCGGCCACTGAACCCAGCGTCACGGGCTCCACGTCGCCGCCATTCGTCACCTCCGGCATTGCCGTGAGCACCGCCTCGTAGATCACGCCAGTGTAGTAGTCCAAGCCTCTGGCCAGACTCAAATCGAACCGGATCTCATTGCAGAGACCCAAAACCTCGCAATACTTCAGCAACTTCTTCATCTGCTCCAATCCCGTCACCGCCGACTTTGTCGCCATCAACTTCGCATCCTTCTGCAGCTTCTCCACGAGATCAAGACCACCGGACAGCTGAACATATTCCCCAATTTGATCCGCCGTCTGCTCGTCGAGTCCCTTCTCCTCCATCATTTCGCGCTTCACCTCCTCCCATGGCGACTGAAAAGAGAGCAGCAAGAAATTTAAGAAATCTCACACGCTTCGTCAACTCTTGTGCATGAAGAAAAAAAAATTAGCCACACTGGCAATAATATGCTTTTTATCAGCACTCAAATGCTGATGTCAGGTAAATTTCCCACCAACATTGCGATTCTCATATTCTACAGCTCATCTCAATTGCAATTCACACTGTTGCCAATCTGTTAAACGCAGTTAATTTTGTGATTTGTGACGACAAATGATGTTTTCGTGAATATTTCTTCTCGATTTAATCTTTTAATTGAGCTCATTACTGCATTTCGTCGCTTCACTCTTCATCGGAGTTCTGAATATCAACATTATTCTCCGTGCGAAACGCATCTTGTGCATCTTACCTTGTCCAGTTTGTCGACAGCCGAGCAAATGGAGCGGAATTTGTCAGTCGGCACGCCGCACGCCTCGAACATGCCGTCCAGGAGCATTCGGTGGTTCAGCTTGATCACGTAGTCGCCGATATCGAGTCCGCTGAGGATCTCAGACACGACCTTCACGCACTCGGCGTCCGGAATCATGCAGTCGTACGTGCCGGCGATGTCGAAGTCGCACTGGTAGAACTCCCTGTAGCGCCCCCTCGTCATGGCGGGATTGTCCCTGCGGTACACTTTGGCGATGTGGTAGCGCTTGATGGACGCAATCTTGCTCATTGCCAGATAGCGAGCGAGCGGAACGGTCAAATCGTAGCGCAGAGAGAGAATCTCTCCACCCTGATCCTTCAAGTCGTAGATCAGCTTTGAGTCCTCGCCATACTTTCCCGTCAGCACTTCCTGCAAAGGACAAAAACACACTCTTCAGCACCTCAGGTCACCTCAAAATGCGCCCATCGGCACTCACTTTGCGCTCAAAGACCGGCGTGTCGATGCTCTCAGCGCCGTGCTTCTTGAATACTGTGACAATCTTGTCCAGGACGCCCTGACGCAGAGCCATCTGCTGCGGATTGTAGTCCCGCGTGCCCTTGGGCGTCTTCAGCATGAACTTCTGCCCACCGGACGCCTCGCCATCCTCCTCGGTGACCTTTGCCTTCAGCGCCAGCAGCTTTGCCACCTCAACATCGATCTGCAACAGGGCAAAAAACAAAACGAAGATCGTTACGCAAGCAATCAGAGCATCACCGCCACTCGTCACCCTAACCTGAGCTGTGCAGAAGCCCCGAAAGTCTCTCATCAGTCGAATCTTTCTCAAAACGCCTATCATTTTGCCTCTTAATCTCTTTCCAAAATGCGTTACAATTGAATCAAAATTCTATTATCGCACTCTGATGACGTATGAAATTTACTGAAGTATAGTAAATAAAGAGATGGTGTAAAAAGAGTGAAGAATTTAGTAGGAAAAAATAAAAACATTCGGTTTGTCAGCCAAAACAAGAGACGTGCTCATTTTCTACACTTACTAAAGCCTACGTCATTGTCGACACGAAAAAGTTACCTTTCTCGTGAAGTTTGGAAAGACATCACAAAACAGAAAAAGGCATGAATTGCTTAACTAACAATCATTTAGTGTCATAAAAGATCAGTTTTTTTCTTTCAGTTTTAGTGGTGTTACTTCCGATTTTAGTGAAAAATCGAGAAAAGGTTCCGTATTTTTCGTATTTCGGGATAAAATACATGAAGATACAAGACATATCGAGGTGAAGTGGATCTAAAATTGACCAGAAACAAGCAATTTTCACCCTATTATCGGCATATTGTGCTTAAAATCAGTAATAAATATTATTGCCTTTCGATTTAGACTATTTCCAGCAGAACACAATGCTTAAATGACAAGTTTACGAGAGAAACATCAATGTGTGCTAATGTGGTAATCAATAGAAAGCGGAGACAATAGCGTTCGGTCAACAATGCGCTCATCCGTGACGCACCAGCGAACAGAGAATCTTTCTCTCTGGCATGTCTGAGCGCGGAATGCCGAGGAAAGACGCCCAGTCGAGCTGAATTGGGCTCCAAAGCAGTCGCAAGGGCGCCGGGGCGGAGGGAAAGGGCCCCAAAGTGCAGAACGACATGGAGAGTTTCTCAACAATTGCATGGCATTGGACGGGAAAAACTAATTGGAGTGAACGTGAAAGTGTGCCTGTGTCGGATTGGAGAGCCGAGAAGGTGAATTGCTCGCTGGCGTATTGAAATCGCGAGTGAGGAGGCAGAAAAAAGCGTTGAGCAATGGGTTCACCAGCTGCTGGTCCAGCGCCATGTGCAAATGCCCAATCAAGGTGATTTTCGCTGGCCGTTTTTGCGGTCGCCCCGACAGAAATGGGTCAAATTGGCGTGACACGCGGCGCACGGGCGCCCCAGCGATCAATTACACGGAAGATCATGGGGATTGCTTGGGGATTTGCAGTACTTTGCTCACCTTCTCCTTGGGCTCCTTCGCTGCCTTCAATTTCCTCACCAAGTCGCCTTGCACTTTGATTTGCTCGAGAATCTTCTCGCGATTGTCACTCATTCTCTGTCCTGGTGGTGTTTGACACTTTCTCGCAGCACTGGCACAGGTGGAATACGGCTCTTTCACGGGGAATTCGCCACGGAAAAGGAAGAAAATGTGCTCTTGCTCTGACACGCAAACCTTTCGCACTTTGTGACAGATACTGGCATGACAGCGCTTCCGGAGCTTTTTCGGAAGTGGCGCTGCCAGCGAAGCGTCATGCCAGTGCGTTCATTCATAAATACTGGCAAGTTTTCCGCTTGCAAGTTTTGAAATAAGAGCTTTTCCGTTGAGAACACAGCGAGAAAATATTTCCCAAAGCTTTGTGTAATTCCAATAAATCAGGCATTCTAAAAGGAAATTTAATTATCTCAATAAATCAATGAAAATTTGCCACCATAAATGTTTAATCACTTTTAATCACCTGTAATTTTCTCCCATTGTTTATTACACAATGTTCATTTCTGTCTCTCTCTCTATTGTCAACACACAAAATCCCTGCGTGATTGTTATCTTATCTGCTCCAAAATGAGCCTCCACTTCCCGATTGAGGAGCACAATTTCATGGATTCGCTCCGTTCTTGCGGAAAACTTGCAGATGAAGCAATTATCCGTGGCGGTTTCCCATTGCGAAATTACTTACACGGAAGTAATCTGATAGAAGTTCCAGTGAAATCAGCAGTGCGGACATAAAAAGAGCAAACATGTGGGATCTCGTGAGGCGGGAAAAAAAGAACAGACGGCAAAGAAATAATAAAATACACCCCATGGAAAATATTCATGAAGAAAAGTTCGTCTCGAAGTGTGGGAAACTTTTGCTGAATATTCAATTCATTCCCAGAAGGCAACCCAAAATCCCCACGCTCTCTCGCTGTAGCTGTTTTTCCACCTGAAAATTGTCTAAACATTTATCTGTGTTTTGTCGCTCCGTGGACAAGAATTGCTGTGGAGAGAGAAAGAGCGCGGCTGCGATTCTGGAGCGTGTGAGAAAAATGATGCGATGCGGGTTTTGCCTCCCTTTCATAATCATTAAACAAAGATCACACACTTTCTCCCACGCGTGCGCAAAGCGCCCCCGATTCTCTGGGGATGCCACGTCTCTCGCGAGCAAGAAGAAGAGCACAACCCCAGACTATTTGGCGTACTTTAGTCCAGTCGTGATGTGGGTCGATTAGGGTAAAAGTGTTCCATGATATTTGTAAGTGAAGTTCACCATTCTCTCGGCCCTCGGCCCGTGCCACCCCCCTTTGGGGCGCCCAGCGCGCGCCCGCGACGCCCCAGAGGGGGCCCCAGTGTATTTTAGCGCGCCGCGCTGAGTGCAGAAATCGCATTGAAATGGGACAGAAATAATAGAAATAAGAATGGAAAAAATCAATAATTGCTTCATATTTCTCCAACTCACCCTCGTGCGGGATGTTGTCTCTCTGATGGGCTCAAGGGGTGGCAATTTCCTGTCATAATTTCCCATTTCATGTGTGCGTGTGTGTGAAAAAAAAATTCCCCATTCCTCAGCATCACGCAGATAAATCTCGAGCAGCTCTTCTGCAAATCCATCTCTTCATTTCTTCAATTTAATTCCCTGCAATTTGCCAATCGACTTCAACCCTCCGCCAGCGAAGGGGGGTGGGTTGGCAAATGGAAATTAAACCTCTCAATTTGACTAACCTGCCATTTGTGAATTTTTCACCAGCAACCATCAGAACTTTTCAACTGTCTCACGAGCAATTTGGTCAATAATTGCAAAACTTTCCATCCTAAAACATCCATCTTCATTTTCCACCACTTTTCCGCCAGTGCAGAATTGTCAATAGTCCTTCGTGGGATCATCACTCAGAGCCTGAGCAAAAGTTGCTCCTTCTGCGACTCCGCGCGGGGCGACAAGGGAGGAATTTGCGAGTGAATGAAATGTGGGGTCGAATGGGGTGAATAGCTCCTGAAATGATTGCGTGTGCAGAGCAGAATTCGCGAACGTGGCGAATAAATTCGCGATTGTGCAGAAAATTCCGTGTGGGTGAGCAAAATTTCATTGCCCTTTTTATTATTAGGTGTTGCATTCCAGAGGTTTTTGGCTAAATAAACATTCGAAAAGGACGATTTTGGAGCTTGTTTGGCACAATTGCAAATCACTCAAGCTTAAGAACCTTGAGAAGAACTTAACATTTAAGTTGTGGTGCAGAACAGATTATTCCTTAGCTCCTTAGTTGCTTTCAAGGTTGCTTTTGATCAAGTATGTCTGAATATATCTTCTCTTGACTTGCAGAAACACAACGAAAAGCTTAACGTGAATTAGAATCAAAGATCCTGGTCTTCATACTGTTTTGCATTCATAGAACTTCCCTTAAGTCTCCCCTTAAATCCTCTTTACATTCAGACTAAAACGCTAGTAAAATAGAAACTCTTGAAATAAGGATGGTCGAAAGTCCTGTGGAACATATTGAATATTGTGAGAGAATTTCCATCGCAATAATCCATAACGCGGGTAATCCGCTTTTGGAAGTGCGTCTCCCATTTTGGCTGAGTTATGCTCGCTCCAGAGATGAAATGTTGGCCCCAATGCGGGTTCGAGGGGTGTTGCGAAACAGTTGAAAATTTCTGGTTGGCTCACAGGCTCCGATATGCTCCCTTTCTTCATATGGCGAAAGCAAACAATTGAGGCAGGAATTTAATTTTTTCCCTCTCACTCTCGCCATATAGTTTCCCCATTTGGGGTCGCCGAGGGGCGCGCGCTGAGAGGGACGAGATCTCCACTTTTGGGGTGGATTTGTGGAAACCCGCGCTCTGTGTTTCACTCTGCATTGTGTGTGTGTGTGCGCGCTGAAATGGGTGAGACCAGCAGCTGTTCACAATATTTGAGCACTTCCTGGCTGCAGTTCCCGCTCGGAAACGCTTTTCTTTCAATAGTGAAAATTGTGAACTTCTATCGCGCTTCCTCGATCAACATGGATTAAATTTCCCCCCGTCAGTCTCCCAATGGCGCCCAGTGTGAGTGATGTAGCTTCAACCCTCCCGGAATCACACCCCTGCGTGATCCAGCACAAATTCCAACTCGCCTCGAGCGCTCTTTTGCACTTTAAAGGCGACAATTCGTCGCTTTAATGCGACGCCAGAGCAAAAGTCAGCGCTCGACTCATGAAGATCTTTCTCTTATCGGAATGCCTTTTTTCCCTGTTTCATCCTTCCCCTCCCCCGCCGCCCGAGTGCTCAGGGAGTCCTTTTTTATCAAGCGCTCGCACATACGTGTCTCGGAAAAGCAGGAAAAATCCTCTCGGAGGCAATTTAAGGAGAAACGTTTATACCTTTTCATCCACTTCAACGTCACAAGATTTACACTTCGTGTGGAAAAAATACGAACAAAATTTCCACTGCGAACATATCGATCTGTTATTCATCTGAATATAGTTGCCATTTTTCCTCAAGACTGATTTCCCAGGAAATACTAAATTGATCAAATCTCTAATAAGATGCACAAAAGAGACTTATTTTACATTTCAAGAATCTCAACGAACGTAAAAAGCACAACTTTTTTACATCTTTTCGGAGCTTTTCACATTTTCCCCGCCCTGATAAAAGAACGACACAAAAGTTCTTCATTGGAACACAATATAAAGGAACCTCTTATCAATGCGATGAATGTTTCACCAGATTTTCTAGGAAAAAAAAGTTGTTATTTTGTGATAAAGACGCGAAAACACATAAAATAGGAGTGATTAGTAAATGATACACGACTGCCGAGGGAAAAGTTAACGCACACAGGAAGAGGAAAAGCGAAATTAACAGTCAAACGTTGGCGGAGGAGAGAAAAAACAAGGAGAGTTTCCAGCGTGAAAAACAAAGGACGAGGCAAAAACATCGGAAGGATGGAATCCCACACAAATAATTCCTTGGTGAGTATTTTCTTTTCTTATCGCTCACCAGTGTTTTTGCCAACACCCTCCATTCCTGATGGGTCACTGCGGCGGCTGCTGGGCCGATTCATTAATCACTTCCTTGGGAATTTGAGACAAATTCCCAGGGAAAAATAATCTCGAGGAGATGTGCGGTACATTAAGTGGGGGGCAGAAATTGCCCACTTACACGCGCATAAAATGTATAAAAATTAGAATTGGGGAGGGAGATGATGAAAATTGTTGCCATTTGCTGTGTGTGCGAGGGTGGGAAAGCTGTCTCGCCCAAGAGGCAGACATTCGGTATGAAATGGTGTACAACTCGTCAGAAGTGGGTGTGTTTGAAAATTTGCAGTATCTGAATACTTTTCCGATTTCTCATGATAATTTAGTGAGAAAAGCACAATTATAGACCACAATCTTTGTGATTATTCAATCTTTTTTTTATCTTGATTATTCGATGCGATATTCTAACATTGTTAGGTTATTTAATTATTTAATGGGCAATAATTAACGTCAAAAAGTGAAAAAAACGTCACAAAATTTGCCACAATCGAATTTCTAACACCTAAAAGTAAGAGTAAGAGCGCAGTATTTTAACCTTAGGGCCAAATTTACCTTTTAGAAATACAACCAGAACTTCTACATGCTTTTCAAACTTGATCAGCTGATGATAAAGTGGGGCTTTTTCACGCGAAAAGGTTTATTTTCACAAATGTGGCCAAATGTGGAGAAATTTATCAAATATTCAAATATATTAAAATTCTGGTTAAATATTCCTAAAATAGTTTAATATAATTTGTTTTATTTAAATTTTTTGCCGGAAATATTCAATTTTTGATTATTTTTCAATTCAACATTTGATTATCGGCTTTCTCCTGGGGAATTTTGCATGCAAAAGTGGATTTGTCTGTACAAATTTGAGGCAAAGTGGCTCCGCCTTGGACTCGCGTGGGCGGCCGGGATGGATTTGCCGGGGGCCAAAGTGCTCCCCGGCCTTTTCCTGGCATGTGTCTGCTGTGAATGGTTGCGAAAAGGACGGAGGATTGGTCAACTGTGTGTTTTCCTCGACCCGTCATCCCTGATATTGCGAAGTGGCACCATGTGTGGCCCCAATCATAATAATATATATCACCAAATTTGGCTATGGCGAGATATAAATATAAAAAAGCAATAACAACTCAATCTCTATGCGAGGAAAATCCTTCTGCCCTAGGCACAAATTGCCGGCTAAACCTCCAATCTGCTGACGTAATCTAATAACATTATTATCACTGAGATCTGTGTCGCATTTTCTCCTTTTATATGTATCGTGCCAATTGATATCAATTCAATTGACAGGGGAGAATGCAAAGGCGACACATTTGCTGTCACACCGGAGGTGTTCTCTGCCGAGACAAGTGCGATGAGGAATTGCTTAAATATGGAAATATTGATCGCGCGATAATGGATCATTCTAGCGGAATATGAGACTGTGTTTGCGGGGCGGCTAAGAAAAATTGCCGCCAACTTGCAGTATCGATTGACTATTTTATTAAAGTTAATTGAATAGCCATAAATAAAAGACTGAGACTGGAGGCGGACCAATTTTGCAGTAGACTCACTTTTATCGTCGGCACCGTAATAAAATCCAATCGAATACTTACCAATATATTCGCTATTAAACATTGTAATTGATTGTTTTAACAATTGCAAATAATCACCTTCCAATCTCTGCATAAGCTTTGGTGGGATTGTAATTGCACTCAGAGAAGAAATGTGTATTCAATATTTGGGAAGAAGTAATATTAGCTTTAAGTAAACACTAGATACGATTTACTGACGCATCTTCACATGTCAAGAAGGGCCTTTCTTGACCTGTCAGAAAGCTCGACATCACTTCTTTTCTCGCTGTGAAAATCCTTCTGAAAACAAACTTTTAATAGCATATTACAAACATATGATTTCAGTCCCTATTGGAGAATTGCAATGAATTTGAGAATAAAGTTCACAAAATCAATATTTTCCACAAATAATGAAGAAAAACTTTTAGTTTGTGTCGTAATATTGCTGTATTTTCAGCAACACATTCAATACATGCCGAAAGCACCCAGAGATTTCTGTAATAAAGCGTCACATATGAAAAGGTGCACACATTTCAATTTTTCATGTTGCTGCATTTGCAGTTTATTAATAATGTCTTCTCCAACGTAACATATTAATTTCACCAAGAGAAAATCCATAACATTCTCAATCTCAAATTTCGTGTTACAAAATATCTGCAGCACACTTCAAAAGAAGTGCCATGCAATTCTTCCTCCTCCTCCTCCTCCTCGTGATATTTCAGTTTAATTGCAAAAACCTCGTCAATGACTTAATGAGAAAATTGGATCAATTACTGAGAATTTCTTGGTCATTTCTCATCAATGTCTCAATATCAAACGCAGTTAAAGTCAGAGTCATCAAAAAAAAAGTTGTTAAGACACACACTTTCTCACATTTCTGCGTGCTTTGTGGCTCTCACACTTGTAATATGTCGAACTTCAATTACAAATCCAAGCGAAATTTCTCAGGATATTTTATGGCATCGGAGAAATTATGGCCCGAGACTTTGCCTATATTCAAAGAAGAATGACTAAGGAAGTATTTTATATTAGATCAATAAATCAGGGGGGAAGCAAATGTACTGCATTTAATGGAGGTGCCGATATAAAAGGCATCGCGCGCAGGGCGATATTGTAGGGAAAATGTCTCATTAGATTGCGACCAATAAAAATCCGCAATTACGCAAAAAGTTGCAGAACTTCTCCGATGGTGGAAGCCAACATATCGATCCGCATTGATGTATGCCTTCTCTGATAGGTGAGGAAGACATTAAATAAGCTCCTCGTGTAGTGCATAAAATAAACTACACAATTTATTGCCTTCCTTATGCAACGGCGTGTTGTGAGAAGTTTAATCAATTTAATATCAATTAATTTGCAGCAAATAAATAAACATTATTGAAGTGTTTCTCAGCTTGTTTTAGACTTGTTCGTTCTTTCGCATCGCCAAACAGCACGCCTGAAGTGAAATGTCCCGTGCAGAGTCCATTGCCAACTGTCAGAGAGTTTCGAATGCTCGCCTGTCCGTCTGTCTGACCATTTTGTGGCACAAACTTGGATTGCAGGAATATTTTATTCTCAAAACACTGTGTACATCTCATGGAGGCGCAGGACACAATGGCAGAGGCCAAGAGGAATATTGATTAGAAATTATGCCATGCAACTGCACAAAAACTGTTTAGGGGTGATATTTCTCTGGCATCAATCCAAATCGGTGTAGTGAAATTGCAACATAATTCTCGGGTGTAAAGAGCGGGAAAGTTTGCTAAAAAGGAATTAGTGTTGTACGATAAATTGGCGGGTCAAATGTCATCAGAATATTGCAGAGAGTTGGGTGGATTTGGATAAAAGGACATTGATAAGCAGATGGTTTGCTTACATAAGTTCTGTAATAGATTCGCTTGTGGCCTGAAAGCAAGCCTAAGTGTGGTTTCAAGGCGCAAGATAATACAAATCTTTATCATAACATTATGTTTGAGTGTTTTTCCTGATTTTTCTGACTCTCAAACAAGTCCATGACTGACTGTTTGTCTGAAATTTGTTTAGACGCTGCGTAATTTATCAGAAATATGAGAAGATGAGGATCGGACAGCGAAACAACTGTCAATGGACGAGATGAAATGGGAAAAAGTCGTGTTCAATGATTTTGAAGAGGGTTGAACTGCGAAGTGTGTGTGTTTGTGCAGAAGGGAAACCCCAAGCAGAGACAATGTCTGGTGGTGATCCTAAAATTGGATTTCTCTAGGCCACTTGGTTCTCATCAATTAGGAGGAAATTAGAGACAAAGAGAGACTAAAGGGGAGAAAAAAAATTCACACGCATTTTCGACGCACACAATTGCATTTCACGTTAAATCAACTGAAATGGAAATATACAGTATATTGTTGATTTACTCAAAAATAGCGCCTGTCAGATATTTTAAGTGGCTTCTCTACATATTATTACGCTCAGTCACGATTTCTTGTTTCGTGTAAAAACGGAAGAATAATTAAGAAGGAGGACTTTTCGTGATGAATTGTGGCTTTATTCACGATATTCTAATTTATGCATGCAACATTCTTCTCAATTTTCTTGACAATTTCATTTACTATCACTCAAATCTTGTCTCTTTTCTCAAAAGGCCATTCAGTTTGGGGAATTTCGAGGGAAAAGTTGTCAGAAGAGAAGCACATTTCATTAATTTATTATCACTTCGTCGGTCTCGAAATGCAGATGAATGATATTGAGAAAGAAAAAGTCTCTGAGTTGAGATACAACTTTTCAATATTGGAAGAATTCAATTCAATTTTACGCATTTTGTGTGTGTGTTTTTTCTCTCTCTTTCGATTGGGCGAGAAGCGAGTCCGAAGAGGGGCTGAATATGGATTTTTATGATAAAGTTCTTCAATCTGAAATTCAATGATAATTGCCAATGCGATGCCATGAATAAATTAATTCACTCTTCCCTGAAATTTGGCTCAGCATCATTATCATGAGCAATCCATAAATTCTCAATATGATCATTACTTCTCTCAATTCGCTGTGAATTGTGGACTTTTCTTCGCCAGCATCGCCAGGGTCATGCTCGAAATTCAGATTTATTGTTTTATTATCTCCTCAAGAGGGGCTGAAAGATGCCGGGCTCGCGATATGCGCGCGTAGACGTGAATGGCGGCCTCCGGGTGGGATGATAAATGACAGAAGATGAAATTTTCCACGTGATGAAAATCACAAGGATAAGCACGAAATGATTTTCCATTGATAAACCACGTGGAAATGGAATTAACTTTTCCAGTGAGTCAACACTGTCGCTCTCACTCTTGCCGAACGGGGAGGGGGAAAACTTTGTCATCCCCTTGAGAGAGAGGGAGAAAGAGAGAGAGAGTGAGTCACTTTGCAGTGGAAATTATGGACTTTTTCCACCTACACTCTTGACTA